AGGCAGGACTTGGCTCCAGAGCACTTTCCAAGCACAGCCCCTCTTAGGGAAACAAGTCACTCAGTAAAACTTGGAAGTGCAATTTTCAGTACCTGTGTGTATGAAGAGAATTTAGCCTACAACATCTTTGACAATTTTCTGGGGAGCAGAAACACAACAGACTAAGCGCCTCTCCAGAGCTTTCTGTTTTCCTTCCAAATAAGCTGTGGTTTTATTTTCTGTCAATTTACCAGAATGAGAATATTGCAGGTAATCTGGTAATAAGCAATAATTTTAGGCAAACCGTTAGACATTCTTCCATATGGACCTTGAGTGGTTTATTGCTGAAAACAAGTGGCATCGGGAATACTGATCCAGAATTCAGCCTTCCAGTGCATCAAAAGGGCTTACAAGAGGGCTGGAAAGGGATGTTTTTCAAGGGGAAATGACCTAAAGCTGAAAAGGGGCAAGTTTAGATTAGATATTAGGAAGAAATTCTTTACTGTGAGGGTGGTGAGGCTCTGGCCATAGGTTGCCCAGAGAAGCTGTGGATGCCCCATTCCTGGGAGTAGTTCAAGACCAGGTTGGATGGGGCTCTGAGCAACCTGGTCTAGTGGAAAGTGTCTCTGCCCACGGCAGGGGCATTGAAACAAGGTGGTCTTTAAAGTCCTTTCCAACCAAAACCATTCTATGAGTCTATACATGAGCAGCTGCAGAAAGCTTTATAAGCAAGCAACTCCAAACTTCCTTCCTATATCAATGTGGCTCCACGTATTTTTGCAGGCACAGTCAGGTACCGTGAGCTTGGTTGGGATTCACTTATCACAAGACACTTACCACCAAGCAATGCAGAAAACTTAACACTTCTATTTCTCCTTAGTCCTCTGTGCCAACATTTATGTGTTCATCCAAATAAACATACACTGCTGCGGGGGCTGTTAATCAGATTCATTATTTCCCAAGGGGGAAGATCTCAGGAGTGTCCATACAGTGGGGAAGTGCAAATGTGTGCAGTAGAGTGACAGGCGAGAGAACCATGGCTTAAGGGAGAGGCTAAAGCAGATGAGGATGGTTCCCAACAGATCCCCTCAGAGTAAAAGGTGTCTCCAGATATTCCTGTGTCACCCTCTGCTTTGCAGCAATGTAATTTAGCTTTTCTCCATACTCTCACACTGAAAAATCAGACAGTGGGCAGATTAAAGCTGTGTTTGACCAACCCTATCTGGGTGACATGAGAAAAACTCCATGGTGAAAGCACAATGCACAGACCTACCAAAAATCTTCGGGCTCTCAAAATTTTTAGTTTGCATACTCAGGCCAACAGCACCTGCACAAATGCTCCAAAGGAGTAAAGGTTTGTGAGTGTTACAGGTCATCACAAAGACACCAAACACATACACAGAACCATGTTAACACAGCCAAGGCAGGACAGTTTGCATTGCATGAGTTCCTTTTACCAGAGACGCCAAAGCTCCAGTTATTCCTCTTCCCTGTCCCAGTCCAGCTTTCCTGGCTGGGACAAGGACATTTCTTTCTATTACTTCACAGTCAGGAATATCCTCTGCAGGGTTCCCCAGGGAAAGTGCAGAAGAGCCAATACCAGACCACACTGTTAATTATCAGCACTAATGCCCCAAATTAGCTTCTGTTAAAGGATGAATGAGAATTTTCTATACTTCCATCTTCAAAATATCTCAAAGGTGCTTCACGAATACAGCACAATACACTCTTTCCTTCCTGTCACTTACCTCATGCTCCTGGTGCTAACTCTGGGCTCCCCTGTTAAACTGAGTGGAGCAGGGGGAGAGACATTTAAAAAGCAAATAACGTCTGGCTTTCAACACAACATTACTTTGTTGTTCTGATCCCTCCATATTCATGTGACTTGATCCAAAAATTAATAGGAGACCAACCACATAAAAGGTGAAATCCCAGCCTGAAATCCTAATCAAGGGAGGTCATTCTCCCTCTCTACTCTCGTGAGACCCTACTTGGAGTGCTGCATCCAGCAATGGAGCCTTTAGCACAGAAGTGTCATGGGCCTGTTGGAGCAAGTCCAGAGGAGGCCATGAAGATGCTCAGAGGGCTGGAGAACCTCTGCTGTGAAGACAGGCTGAGAGAGTTGGGGCTGTTCAGCTGTATGGAGAGAAGGCTCCAGGGAGACCTTTCACTACTTAAAAGGACTACAGCAGAGCTGGAGAGGGACTACAAGGTCATGTAGAGATAGGACAAGGAGGAAGGGCTTTAAATTGAAAGAGGGCAGGTTTAGATTGGATATTAGGAATAAATTCGTTACTCAGGGGCAGTGAGGCATTGGCACAGGTTTCCCAGAGAAGCTGTGGATGTCCCATCCCTGGGAGTGTTCAAGTCCAGGTTGGATGGGGCTTTGAGCAACCTGGTCTAGTGGAAGGTGTCTCTGCTTACGGCAGGGGGGTTGAAACAAGGTGATCTTTAAGGTCCCTTCCAACCAAAACCATTCTATGGGTCTGTGATGATTCTGTCAATGTCCAAATTCTTTGTGCATTTGGAAATCTCACACTGAATCTGACATTATGGTGTTAGAGTAAGAGAAATGTGTAGTTTGGGGTCACTGCCTTAACGTCCTGGACAGGCACTCCCAGGTGGTCTGTATTTCATTTCAAACAAAAACAAGTGACTAAAGTAAGCAATCCTGGCAGCCAATCACATAAAACTGGATTAGTAGTGGTTGTCTCAGAGTAATCAACTCTTTCTTTTCCCTTTTCAACATAGAAATAATATCTGAACTGGACATTTACAGTGGAAAGAGCTTCTAAATGAGAATTTACTGTTACTCACAGCTAGTGTTTGCAGGGAACAGTATAAATAAATGCCGCTTACAATCCCTCCAGGTCACTCCCCAGAGAAGCAGCAAATTTATACTGTCATGGGTTTGATTAGACACAGTGATTTTATATACTTAGTTTTGAAAGGTTTGGTTTGGCTGACTTTTTCAATTACTGACTAACAGAATACACACACAATTGATTCTGCCTATAGCAGCCATATATCTGAGTTGCAAAACCACAAAAATACACACAATTTCCTTGTCTACAGCTTTCCAATTTTCCTACACACATGCATTTCCTACCAGCAAGCTGCAGGCAGTTTGCCATTCAGCTTGTGGAGTTCCTGGCTTACCCTTCAGAGAGGCCCCACCCCCCCTAGAACTGAGAAAGAAGATGAGATTCGTCTCTGGCATTTGGACTCACCCTACCCTGTGCAAGCACAGCACATTGAGGGATCAAAGCCACAGCTGGGGCCACCAAAAAAGCACTCCAAAGAGACTCAAGAACTCTCTCAAGGTACCCCAAGAAATTTGTGGCAGAACAGAGAATATTAGCTACTTTTTCAGCACATCTGCATCACCAAAAATCAGTTAATAGCAGTGTTTAGTCATGTAATAAATATACTGTACAAGGGATCTGCTGCAAGGCTACCTACAGGGAACATAATTCTCACTCAGATAAATAAGGAGCAGGAACTGCAAGCAGCATAAGTATTGGAGGTAAAGCTAATGGGTAACAGCTCTAAGGACATAAAGAGCCAAGCCAGGCAGGTAAGGATTTCTTTTAAATCCCTCCTACTCATAAAACCATGGCATGGAAAGCCTAGGGAAATATCTTCCCTGTTCTCAAGTTCTTCCAGATGCCTTAAGTAGGCCGCTCTCCCACAAGGGTTGAGGCGATGCTCAAAACCATCAATCACCCTGGTAAACTAAATGTTGCAAGTAAATTTTTCAGTAAATCAATAAAAGAAAGAAGGCAAGGTTAGCCTCTGCCAAAATTTTCAGTCCATGTTCTCCCACCCCAAACAACACAACCACCTTGTGTCTGTTTATTATGGACTTTCGATACTGTATCTGGGAAAACTGATAAAGCACCATGTTCTCCCACACTACAATTCAGTCATTTGCTGTGCAGTGCAAGCGACAGGAAGGTAACTGCAAATCTGTCACCTTAAGGGTTCCACTACAGCCAAATACCAACCTTGTGCAAATTCTTGAGAACTTACCAGTGATATTTGGAAGCCAAAGCACTCACATCAACGTTTAAAAAAATGCTGTAAATGTCTCTTCAAAACCCTGGAGTGAGAAGTGATGTGGGAAAGTCTGGCCTTTAGTCAGATTACAAAAGAAATTATTCACTAGCCCTGTAGGTTCATTAATCTAGTCTACTATAAATTTTTATTATGAGTTATTATTGATTCATAGCCATAAACACATTGAATGCTTGAGATCTTTGCCCAAAAATTTTCACAGTCCCAAATCCTGCACTTGGAAAGACTTGTGCTTACTTCAACACCCATGAGCAGACCCCATTCATTTCAACAACATCAGCCAACTCATGTTTCTAATTTTAGTTGTTCCTACTGACAGCTGAGTAACACTGGCACCTTCCAAATAATCCTTTGATTTCCTGACGTCACGCATGCTCTTGGGAGGATACACGGAGAAAACATTCCCTACACAAATGGTCAGAGCTGATTAACTACTAGAGGACGTTACCAGCTTAAGTGATGTATGATCACTTACAGTGGCCTAAGAGCCAAATGAGTCACATGAAGTAGAGCCAAGGATTCTCTCTGGGTTTCAAGTTACCAAAGTAAAAGCCTCTTGAAATAGGATCTGAAGCAAAAAGAATGCCACAGCAGTTTCTGAATGTGTTGGAAAAGCTAATAATTGGAAAGGAAAACTATAAAAATAGTAATCTTTAAACTCAGTAAAACATAATGTAGTCTTGCAGTGTAATGCTTTTTCAACCACATTCCTGAACTGTTACTGAGTAGATATGCAGGAAAATTAAGAAATTCATCAGAAAATCTAATTCAGTCCTGTCTAAACTACAAAGATGAATTATCCACTAAGCTGTGTGAGATGTCAGAGCTCCCATGCTGGGTAGCTCTGCTTAATACAGGTCAGTGCAGCACCAGCACAGAGAGCTGCTGCTTGGCCAAGGAAAGATGAAGTCCGAAATGAACAGATGCATTTTAACATGCAATACCTGAAGAGAAGTGCCAACTGAACAGGCAACATCTTCTTTAATTAAAGTTGCATAGGAGTGGGGATAGCGAGAAGGACACATCTGATGGCTTGGTACAATTCGGCCATAAAAAGAAGACTGGATGCTGATGGTGGTTCTGTGAGGACATCTCAGGGAGACATATTCTCCGTCGCAGGCATGGTCAGTGTAGTTCTTTAGCACCTGTGATATGTAACCTGCAAAAACCATGACAAAGAAACATCATTAGTGAAAGGTAGTTAATACTGAGGTGATTTACAGCAATGCAGCCTAACAAACACAAAACTAACAGGCAATGAGGGACACATTTTATTACTCATCTCACATATGTGCGAAGAGACACAGTGACATGGAGATTAGGGAGGCTTGGTGATTTGACCTTCAACCATGTTACAAATCCTTATTGGAAACAATATTTGGATACTTCAAACTCTTAGTCCCATCATACAACTTATTTACAATGGCACAATACGAGAAGAGAGTTTCAGACCACATATATGGAGCAGCACCTTCACTGTGAGGGCAGTCAAGCAGTGGAGCAGGTTGCCCAGAGAAGCTGTGCAATCTACATTCTTGGGGGTTTTCAGGATCTTGCTGGATAAAGCCCTGAGCAACCTGGTCTGACATTCTAGAGCAGGAGATTAAACTAGAGAACTGAAATCCCTTCCAACCTCGCTCTTCCCATAAAATTATGATCATGGGCAAGAAAGGCCCAGATGCAAAGCCACATTCCATCCTGGCACACCAGTCACATCTTTGATCTCCTTTCACAATATACCATTTAAATTCTTCTGGCTACACCTTCTGTTCTAAGCCTTTGACACTAAAGCTTTGCTTTCTCTTCAGTTTTGCAAAGTTTCAATCTTTTTAGAAGGAAAACAGTATGCAGAACTAAATCTCTCCTTGTTTCTTAGAGGATTATGTTATCCACAGTAATAAACTTGTTGACAAGGATAAAGCAGGGGACAAAGTCTCGTTAAAATTACACTTGAGTCACAATGGCTGATTGCTGTAAGGTTGCCATGGAAACTCCCAAGCAATTCTGACTTTGCCACACTCAGGCATGAGGGGAAACCACTGTGTTGCTGATCTGGAGAGATCTCTGGAGGGAACACTACAGCATGTTCCATGTCAGTGTCAGCCACAGTCCCATTCAACCCCACAGTTCTCTCTGCAATTGGTTTGGAAGTCCCCTTCCCACCAACACAAGCCTATCAGCAGCCACTATACAATGCCCTGTCCCTATCCTTCTCTTCCTCTGCAGAGAATATGATAAATAATGAGAAACTAAGGGGTAGTCTGTTCATCTAAGAGAATAAGGAATAAGAAGAGTGGGATCTAATTACTGTTTTACATTAACTAAAGATCCAGAGGAAATGGAACCTGTAGAGGAAGACAGAGACAGGGCATTGTGGGATGGTTGCTGGTAGACTGTTTCCTAAGAGGCAGAGTAGAGAGAAAAGGCAAAACCATTAAGATAAGCAAATAATCCCTGGACAAATACCTAAAAGGGAACCTGAGACTTCTTTTTTTTTTTTAATTATGACTGTTCTCTTGGTGGTCCATCATCATCGCTAGGCTTCGCGAACGAAGATTTGGGAAGGGCTCTACCCATGTTTGTCACAAGCACGTTGGTGGCTAAAAAGGCCAATACGAGATAGGCATGACCGGTTGCAAAAGGCACAGCAGAAAGACTCCTTAGGTGGTAAATTCTGCAAGGCACGATTCTTTCTGCGTTGTCTTTTCTCCTCAAGGGTGATCCTGTGTGCTTTCTCAAAAGCATCCGCAGCATTACAGATGGTGTGTCTCCAGACCTCCCAACTGGAGGCCAGAGTAGACCAGTTATGATGATCAATATGGCCAAGGCTGAGATGTTGTTTCAGGGAGTCCTTGTATCTCCTCTTTGGGGCTCCTCTCTTGCAGCAGCAGGTGGCAAGTTCACCATAAAGCAAGATCTCAGGGAGGCGGTGGTCCTTCATCCTGGAGACGTGCCCTGCCCAGCGCAGCTGTGTTCTCAGCAACATGGCCTCAATACTTGTGATTGCTGCTTGTTCTAGAACAGATGTATTGGTCACATAATCTGACCAGTGGGTGTTTAGGATTGTGTGGAGACAGCATTGATGGAAGCGTTCTAGGAGACACAGGTGGTGGCAGTAGATGACCCATGATTCGGATCCGTATAAGAGAGTATTGGTGGCCCATAATCACAGAATAACTCAGGTTGGTACCTCTGCAAGTCATCTAGTCCAGCCTTCTGTTCAAAGCGGGGCCAATTTAGTCCAGGTTTCCCAAGGCTTTGTCCAGTTCTGGATATACCCAAGAGTGGGGCCTCCACAACCTCTCTGAGCAAACTGTGCCAAGGCTTAACAACTTCCACAGTGAAAAATTTTTTCAGTCCATGCAATTGGAATTTCCCATGCTATGATTTTTTTTTTATTATTTGTTCTCTCTGTTTTTTTCATTGGTGCATTTTTGTACCCTTTGGTACCTTTCAGGGAGAAGACTGGTTCCGTTTTGTCTATACCTTAAGTTAATATAAAACAGTAATTAGATCCCACTCTCCTTATTCTTTACTGCTAGATGAACAGATCAGCTCCCTCAGTTTATCTCATTGTTTATCACATGTTCCAGTACTCTTGCCTTCCTGGTAGCCAAAGACACTCTGTGTAGACTCTCAACACCTTGGCTACACTGAGGACCCATCTTGGTATGAGTTACCATTCATTCCTGCTTCCTCACACTCACCATCCTGCCTTCCAAGACACGACAATGCACACAGGGAAACACATGTGGTTTGAGAGAATTCACGTGGCTTGCTCAGAATCACTCCCACATCAACTCTAGCTATCCTCGTAGACACACCTGTAGGGTGTATTTTCCCCAGTAAGATAAACGGTCGCGGTGTTTTTTCTTTGTCTCTAAAACCATATCCAGCAACTTCCTCTTACTATCCAAAATAGTATGACCTATATCCAGAGTTTTACTGGCAGTAGACCTGCTTCCATACCAACACTGAAACCTAGCTCAGGAGTTCTGTGAAAGAACACTTGTCTGAGCAAATTTCAACATGTCTAAAACAACTATAATCACTGTTCTTAGAGATAACCAATACACAGTAATTTAGCTTCAACATCCAAGCTGCCACTGCAAAGGCTGGGTTCTCTGATTTCTCTAAATTTTAGCCTGTAGTTCTTATTTATCAGTTCTGTTGCTGCAGCGCCTCGAGGTCTGTGCCAAATAAATATTTACTCAAATCAGCATATTAAATTCCAAGTCCTCAGGGCAGCATAAGGAAAAGGCTGAGACACAGCCCAAATAATTAGTGACAGGGCTGCATCAGATCAGGAAAGAGCACTATTTAATTTAGTACCTTTATCTCACTTGTTCAAGGAAACACTCTGGGATAAAATGAACTACTGGGGTGGATCTCCTTTCCCAGTCAGTAGAATACATGCTCTGTGGGATACTGCACACCTAGTCCCAAACTTAGATCAGCTCTTCTCCCTCAAAAGTAAAGCAACTATACAAGATGGGTATCAGGAAAAGAAAACTGCAGACTCAGAATATAACACAAAACGTTAAAACCCACTTTCCACACTGTTACTCCAGCGCATTAGGACTTTTCCCTGAGGCTGACCTATTAGGGAGCCAAAGAAACACAACCAAAGTGCTGTCAAGACTCTGCTGGCTCCTTTGAATATTCAATTACTCTGTCAGAACAGCCATCCTAGGGCATGCCTTTCATATTGCCAATTCAGGATCAGAGAAGGTTCCAACCCCTGCAATTAGTGCACATCACTTGTTGAAACAGCTCCTTCCTTTCGTCTTCCATCAGCAGTCTTGAAATAACTTGAGTTTGTTCAAGCTCAAGACATTGAAGGGATTGAATGCTTTGATGGTGACTGACTAATAATAAGCAAAGCACAATGTCTGAAACATCTGGCACTGACCACTGTCAGAGAGAAGATACTAGATCAGGTATGGGCATGGTCAGAGAGGAGATGATGTTCTTCAAAGAGCAAAAGGAAGTGCCTGTAGAGAATTAATGCTTTTTTTTTCCTGTTTAAGTGTGCCAGATTTGTACTATATCATTGGTAGTTCTTTTGAATGCCGTTGGCATTTCATTACCCGCTGATTCACAGTTCGCTAACCCAAAATCCAAATTATTTTCAGGACCCTTGCTGATTTTTCAGTAACAAGTCTCCAAGCGACCTTTTGTACCATTACATGCAGTACCAGGGAGGGAATTACTGGGATGCTCCTTGGTGAAAGAAGGTGCTTGAGGACTTTAATGGCACTCCTATACCAGGGTAAGAAGCACTCCATAAGTACGCAAGGAAAAGCTTACAAAGTTCTTTGATTCTTTCCTGGAAAGCATGAAAAAATCTCTTAGATGGTTACAAGAACCTATTTTAGTTCAGTAAAATGATAGAGCAGATCACCAGTAGCTATTTATAGGCCACAGAATACGGCAGTCAAGAAACTGAGATGATAAAGGTGTTATCAGATGATGTCATCGTTCCCACTCAAGTTTATGTCTCTGCATCATTATCTGGGACAAGTGTCTGCTCCAAACAAAGATAAGGTAGGTTGCTTTTAAAGATGACCAAAGACAATTGCTATTCCTTTCTTCATCCATAAATTCTGGAATGTGAAGTCACCATTGTCAGGTCTAGGACCCAAAGGCAAGGAATTATTTGAGAAAAATATTTTATGATTCTAAGATCCCATCTGTACTTCTACAGACAAATGTACTCTGTATTGTCATGGTTCATCTTGGAATGGAAGTGACATAAATTCTCATTATTTTATCAGGATTTTTTTTGTTTGTTCACTAATCTACCTGTCTAGGGAAGACAATATTAAAGTAATTTGAGCTTCTCTTTAAAAACATATATTTCATTTTAAAATATGGTAAAAGCGTAAAAGAAATCTAATGCGTTAAGCTCACCAAAACTTTTCCAAATACTACATGTTTTGAAAACCTGGGATAACAAAAGCAATTACAAAATATTTTGGGGTTAGCACTTCTCTTTTTTTTAAGGACTGTGTCAAGGACATGGAATCTTTGATGGTAGGCTTTCTTAGTCCCAAATTAAGTCAATGTATAGGACTCAAGAGCTAAACATCTCCTTGATTCGGAAGACCGGTATCACTACCAAAGCAGGGATTTGCATTCTGAAGACAGAATAAACAA